AGTTAGCCCAATGCCGTAACCCCCAAACTGGAGGACCAGCGGTTTGGGTTCAAAGTTTACCTCTCCTAGACGGATTGTGGGATCTACCGCTAACGGGTTCCGACCACCTTTTAATTTTCTACGAACCCTAAAATCGGGGGTCACTTCCGCCATGCACACCGTACTGAAGATGTTCTTCTCTGCCGTGGATACCGTTGTGGTGTTTATCCGTGACCCTGGACAAGGCTAATATGATACTAGTTTCCCGTGTCAGGAAACTGATGGAATCTGCGGAGGGCAGAGATTGATTCACTTTCCCTTGAAGTAAATATTGTACATTTTAAACATTTGCTTTAATTTTTTTTATCTTTTTACTTTAAACGCCAGTGTGTTATTATTACGGATTTAAAGAAAAAAATTTGTTATTGTTAAGATAAAATTTATTGGACTTTTAGGAGCAAATTAACTCTAATATAATAACTGATGCCACTATCTTCAGTGCCTCTAGTGGCAGGCCATCGGGGCAGGGAGCTTTTGCCGTTTTGATTTCTTGACTAGCAGGCTTTAGTTCGTCTGCATTAAATTTCTCCGTAATCATTGGAAAGATCTTTAAAAAATTTCATTCGTTTTTGGTGGGGAATAGGAATTCAGCGGTTTCTCGTCGCTGGTCTTGGTCTAGTCCATATGGAGCGATTATCTTAAGAGATTTTATTGTAATCTTATATGCATCACCCCATATGTCATTTTGAAGAGCTTTTATTAGGCTCTTGTATTAGCTTTTGTAATAGGTAAAATATTTTTTGGAGCTCGGTGGCGCCCTGGCTTCTTTTAAAATTTCTGCAAGCTCGAAGGCACTCCTTCGTAGGCCTTCTATCTCATCAGTTTATTAGTAGGGCGTTTTTTTATTTCTCTTCTTTGCAACGATCAAGCCAATCTCTTTTTCTTTGTCAACCATTGTCCATCCACTCCTGAATGTAGGTCTCTTCCAATTGCTTTCATTTTTCTCTATCTTGCACCAATCTATTGTTGTCGTCCTTGGTCTGCATTCTAGAATTCTGCGTGTCCACCTGTTGTCATTATATCGGGCTACGTGACCTGCCCAGCGTCATTTCATTTTTGTAAGTTCTTCCACAATATCCCTAATCTTTGTTCTACGTCTTATCTCGGTGTTTCTAATCTTGTCTCTTAGTGATATTCCAAGCATAATTCGTTCCATTGCTCTTTGCGTTGTTTCTAATTTTTTAGCAGATTTTTTGGTAAGCGCTACTGTGTCCAAGCCCTAGGTACAAACTGGTAGTATGCATGTGTTATACACCTTTTTCTTTAAGTTTATAGGAATGGAGGTGTTTTTCAAGATATGTGCTAGTTTGCCGAAAGGGCCTCAAGCCAGTTGAGTTCTTCTTTTAATTGCAGCATCTTGGTTTGGTTTTCCTAGATTGATAACATAACCTAGATATACATATTGTTCATCATTTTCTATGGTATAATTTTGTATTGTTATATTTATCTGGTCTCGTATAGTTAGTATTTTTGTTTTGCTATAGTTCATTTTTAAGCCTACCGCTCCTGAAACTGCATTTAATTTTTAACATATCATTTAGTTTTTGGATATTATCGGCTAATAAAACTGCGAATGTCATCTGCGAATTTCAAATGGTTTAAGTATTATTCCGTCGACGTTGATACTCTTATTGTTCCATTCCAGTTTCTTAAAAATATCTTCTAGAGCAAGGGTAAATAGTTTGGGAGAGATGGTGTCTCCTTGCCTTACTCCCCGTTGTAGTCTTATGGGATTAGTTTTTGTGCTTTCGTCCAGCTTTATCTGAATGGTGGCATTTTCATATATGTTTTTAATTATGTAAGTGTATCTTAAATCTATGAGTGCATTCTCTAGAGATTCAAGCACTGCCCATAATTCGATGAAATCGATTGGAAATCGACGAACGCCATATGAATTGGAACATTATACTCGGTGCATTTTTCTATCAGTGTTCTATCAGTATCAGTTCTATCAGTATCAGTGCAAGTGGCCTATTATATTAAAATGTTTTCTGAATCAAGCCTGCTCGATAGGTTGATAAAAATCGAGCTTATGTTTAGGCGATTGGATATGATTTTAGTTAGTAATTTATACAGACGTAATTGCAAGGATATTGGTCAGTAATTCTTGATGTTTGCTTTGTCTCCTTTTTAAATAGTTAAATGACTTCGGAGTTGTAATATTCTTTAGGAATCTTTCGTTCATCAATTACTTTATTAAATAAAATATTTAATACCTGTTCCATTTTTCTGCCACCAATTTTCAACATTTTAATTGTAATCTTATCCTCTCCCGGACATTTATTCGTTTTTAGTTGATTTAGGGTCATTCTTATTTCATAGTCGGTTATGTCCGGTATTTCTTCTGAGCTAAGTTAATTTCGTTCACAATAATTGCATCTCCAGTTGACCAAGGTCAGATAGTTCTTCTTCGTTTGTATTTCTGGCCTCCTGGAAACACGGTCTTGTCAAAAGTTTTTTCTGTTTGTCCTATCGGTTGTCTTATTCTCCCCCCTGTAAGTTTAATTTCGTAAGTTTTGTAACGATGGTAGGAATATAACTGTTTGTTACGGACATCCCAGCCTCTTATTCGTCTGAATAGCTCTTCGCTGGCTAAGGTCACATCTATATATGTTTGGCTGGCCTCTCTTATGAAAGTTGGCTTATTGTTGTGTTGCTTAGAAGTTCGAGAAACTAGATTAATTTATCCATTCGTTCAAGAGTTCTCCAATTTCGTCATTTATAAGAGAGCCCCATAATCCAGATTTTGCCTTGGTATCGCTGCCGATCACGACCTGCTTTTCTCTGGTAGCGGTGTTTATAATTTCCTTTATTGGGTCCTTGTATTTTCTAATGGTAGTATTTAGAGATGTAGCACCAATGTAGTCTCTTATAGGGCTGTAGCACTAATAATGATGATGATTTGGAGATACGCAGCATGCCAGCAGGCTTAAATGTTCCATCTTAATTAGTATATAATTCTCTGCCTCTGACTATGTTACGCACTTCAAAATATTTATTGCTAAATAACACGGCCTTTTTTTTTTTGTATGTTGCACCCATCACCGCCTGTAGTTATTTTTTTGATGGGTTCTGGAACGATAAGCAGGTCTGATTCTAGCAAGTAGGCTTTTACGTGGATGAGATCGTGGGCTGTTCTTGACCTGACCACATTTGCATGCATTATCCCTTTATCAAATTGGCTCTTAAGGGCCATTTTTGGTTTATTTACTTCGGATTCGACCAACAAACTTCGTTAACCTGTTTACAATATGTCCGCTTTACTAATCTTATGTGACCGCATACAAATAAATAAACAAATGAGTTTATAAATAAAAAGGTGTTTCGATCATTTTTAAACAGATAAAAACAAACTATACATAAGTTAAAAGCACTAAAATTGGTAATGAAGTAAATTAAAATATTTTCATAAAATTTTGACTCACAACACTAAATTATTTTTTTTTTAAATCTTGCACAATGGAGGATGAATAAGGGCTTAGGATATAGTAACGTGAGAGTGAAAGTAATAATAACACGGTATATAGGACATAACATAGCAGACCAAAAGATAAATATACATTTTTAGACTTAAACAACACTTACACAGTATATGTATGACAAGGGTGATACTGAGCGTTGGTGTATACATATGTATTATTGGGCTGTATGGCGTCCCACCAATTTTATTTAACTTTCTTTTTGATTTTAGTTCTGTACGTATTTTATTTCCTAGCACTTCCTATCTCCTCCATACATCAATGCTTTATATGCTGGACAGACCATCCTATTTACCATGTCCCACTTCTTTGCAAATCATGTAGTATGCTTGGTTTGAGTATCCTTTAACCTTATGACCTTCTTTTAAGAAATTATAGCAGTACGTGGCCCTGTCCCTCGCTTTGCATTAAATAAATTTTGCCCGTACTTTAGGTACTTAAAACATCCTGTGGGGCGAATCTCTCCATGATGGGACACTACCTGCTCTATTTTTATTGTTTTGAACCTAAGTTGCTCTTCCTTGGTGGCCCTTACCGCCATGGTTGCCACCTGGGAACACCATATGTTTTCCCTAATGGTCTTGACTTCGTCATCTAATATAACTTTTGTACATTTCGCTATTGCTGCCTTTAATATATTTTCGTTAACGGATTGGTCTAGGTTAGCGACAGTGAAGAGATCCTCCTTCTTCTTTACTGCCACACTGAGACCGCTGACTTTATCATTAGCCGTCCCTTTTTCTTTTAGTTGACTGGTATATCCCCTCCATTTGTTTTTTAAACTGGTCTACTTTAAATTCTGTTTTTTCTACGTCTATCTTGTTGTTAACCTATTCTATGACCTCTGTGAGGGTCAGACCTACTTCTTTTATTACACTTGTCTCTTTTCCCTTACTAGGATACAATGAAATGTTTCTCTTTATACCAACAAACTCTTGCGCCTTTCTTTTAGTTTTACTTTATCTATATCGTTTTCCAATACCAGCTGCACGTGTTTTATTCCTTTCCTTACCTGTTTTATGTTTTTCTCGATTTTTTCGGCCAAGTTGTATTTATCTATACCATACTCATTTTTATTTTCTCCTAGCTTCGCTGTGGATGTATACCATATTTTTTTCATTTTAGATGTATTGAATACGTTTTCTACATAGTCTATATTATCTCCCTCTGCACACTCTTTGTTAGCTCCGCTAACTATTTTCTCACTTTTATTATTTTACCACTTAGGAACACTTCGTCGGCTTAGTGAACACAAAAATGTAACTACATTTTTTCACGTTTTGACATATTTACACATTGAACTTACCTTAGTGAGTTCTATTGACCGACAAAAAATTGTATCTCTCCGAGCACTCAAAACCCCAATAAGGAGTTTTCGTAACTACATTTTTTAACAATCTTTTAGTGTCACAGAAATGTAAGTGCTGTTACATTTCTGTGATACTACGTTTTCGTACTATAAATAAGCTGATATTGAGTTACCTTTTTGTGGCATAAATTATATTGCACTGAATAGTGGTTGCAGGTAGTATCTGTGGATTTGATAATTTGTTTATTATGTTTAGCAGGGTGGTCTGTTGTATTTGCAGTTTTGTTACAGCTGTGAAACACGTGAATCAGTTGATAATTTGTTTATTATATTTATCAGGGTGGTCGGTTGCCTTTCCAGTTCTGTTGCCAATGCTAAAGCAATATTTTACAAAAGACGACTGGCTGTATATAATCTTACTGTTTACGATGTCAGGACCAAATGCTACTAATTATATGTGGCATGAAGGAGTGGCTGGCAGACGTTCGAATGAAGTGTCCTCTTGTCTCTATAAATATCTACAGGACAATTGCGATGGTGAAGAGTTTGTTTTAATGAGTGACAGGTGTGGTGGCCAAAACCGCAACGTAAATGTATCTGCTATGTTGCTTTACGCTGTTCAGACATTAGATATTCCAAAAATTGACCATTGCTTTTTGAACCTGGCCATTCGATGATGGAGTGTGACTCGGTCCATGGTCATATTGAGAAAGCATAAAAAAATGTGAACATATTTGATCCCACTGGGTGGTACACCATTGTAAGAACGGCGTCAAAGAAATCAAAATACACTGCACACGAGATTGAACAGGAAGAAATTTATGATTTCAAAGCTTTTGCCACAATTTTAATAAAAAACAAAAAAGTGGACATCGATGGTAGTAGCATAAATTGGCTAAAATTAACATGGCTGCAGTACAGAAAAGACAATAATAAACATATATTTTTTAAATATAATAAGGAAAATGAAAATTTCGGGTCTTTTGAGGTTACCCGAAAAGAAACTAGGAAATTTTCCATGCCAAATTTAACAACGGCATATGAAGGAACAAGGCCAATAAAAGAGGAAAAATATAAGGATTTAGAAGAGCTGTGTAATAAAGACATTATTCCTTCCCAGTACCATCTCTTCTTAGTCGTTGCTCACCAACAATATGGACAATCAATCAGATTAACATGATTAAAATTATTGTTTGATAAGGCTTTTAAAGTTCATGTTTAATTAAAAAAAATATTTTATGACTTTAAATAATATTATAAACATCTCGATGGGAATAACCACAATCTATTTATTAAAAAAAAATTATTGACGTTTCGACTTCTAAATTCAGAAATCATTGTCTAAATATTTTATAAAGTTTCTTTTTTTAATAAATAATATTGTGGTTATTTCCATCAAGACTTTTAAATAGTATTTAATGCCACAAGAAAATATCGTCAGAACAATAAAAAGTTATAAAATGAATTACGATTATTAGTTTTATTATTATTATTAATAAATTGGGTAACCCTCAGTAGTGAAATTAGATTATAATGCTCTAACAACAAAGAATTATTACAAGTAGGTACCATTTCATTTTAGAAAAGCTTAGTCTTAATCCTATTATAAAATTATTTTTATTTAAATGGCGTGGTTAAGTTTTCGGACCAGGTAGAGAATAATAAATTTTAATCTATTGTACTTTTAATTATTATACCTGCAACTCAGTATGTTTATCTCTCGAAACTTATCCCTATTACTCCAATACAAATAACGGTAATAGGATTAAGATTAAGCTTTTCTAAAATTAAATGGTACCAACGTAAGTCTCAATAGACTTTTCAGTTAGTGACACAAAAATGTATCTCCGCTATTTTAACTAATTGTTGATATTTTGAGAACACAATTTAGCCATTGTTGTGTATGATTGTATTACCGTAATGACAACATTTATAACATTAATAATTCGGAACAAAAAAGTTGAGGATAAACTACAAGTCATTACAAAATGCAAATCATTTTTTTAAAACCCTTAAATAAGCTCTCCTGAGAAGTAGTCATTTTTCAGATACATTTTTGTGTCAATAAGCCGACGACTTATTAAGGGTACTTTTATGAATGAATATGTTATTTGGCGATAAGCATTTAGCTGGTATTTTTTTAATGTCTTAAAAATTCTCAGAGTTTCTTTATTATAGTTCTAAACTTCTTGTTTTAGTAGGTAAACCTTTTTATTTCCCTTTGTGGATCTAGTTTCACGTTTACTGTATATTTGTCACCAATTTAAATCAAATCAAATACTCATCTTTATTTATTAAATAAATGGAGTATCTACCGCTATTTTTAAAAGAGTATATAAAATATAAATCACGTTACCTGTATTTTCCTCTCAGAACAAAAATTTTCTTTAAATTCTACAGATTTTCGGTTCTATGCCGCACATGACAAAAATTTAATAAACCACATTTCGGTAACCTACATTTTCTTTGGGTCATGGAACACTAAAAGAATGTGACGGTTACTTTAAAATATTTCTTGTCTCCGATCGAGTCCTCACTACCCCGTATATATCTGGACGAACTCCAAAAGCGAAGAGAAGTCACCTAATAAACGGTGATTTACTGACTTTCGTGGATACTAAAATCCCAGATCACGATCTAACGCACTTATTCTTTTTCGCAAATAACAAAATGGTGAAAAAATTAATGTTATATACTAAAGAGAGATTTCTTTTGTTCAGCGGAAAAAATGATTTACTCATCTGTTGAAACAGGGTTTGCTTTGTAAAATTTTAAATAATACAAAAATCGAAATATTTTTAATAAAAATTTTGTTATAAATTATCTCTTAAAACGGAAAATCAAAACAATTTTAGTAGTAATACAAAACATATGTTTTAAAATATATTGGATCAGAATAAATAAAAACTGAAATATTACAAAAAAATTAAAGTATTAAAAAATGCTAAGCAATACAAAGTTTGATATAAGGTTTAATGCTCGAATAAATGAACTTTGAAAAATTAAAGGCAAATATAGAGCACAACTTTAATAATCAAATCTTGCTGAAATACTTTCGCTTTCTGCAGCATCATCAGGGGCATCTGAAATAAGCCAAGAAACGTTTTTTTATTTTTAAAATGAAGAAAATTAATTAACTTTGATAAAAAACTCGAAGTTAATAAATATAAAAGTTTTTTCTGATTAAAGTTTAAGACTTACTTCGTCAAATTTGGGCTATTCAGCAAGCGCAGAATGTCATAAACATAAAATTTAACATTAATTTTACATAACACTACAGTAAAACAAGGACAAATATTTTAAAATTATTCTACGCTCTACATTCTTGTCGGCAACAGGAGATAGAATGGTATTTAACGGAAATTGGAGGTGACATGTGACATATGACAGCTTTGATGGTCTTCCACAATCATGGATATGTGATCGGCACATATTAAAATTCTGTGTAAGTAAGCTGGCAGTGACCAAAGGTCCAACTATAGAAAATGAGCTTATAAAATATGACATATAGAATATTTTGATTTAACTAGATTGCATAATCCAGATCTCAAACTTACACCCGTCTGCAATAATA